CAATCAACTTTACACTGACTATGTGTTACTTCTTCAATAAAACTGTTCAAAATACTACTAAATATATTCATGCGTTCCAGATATTTATAGCAAATTGATTCCACTTAATATCAAAAAATGATTTCAAAATTAAATTTATAATTAGCAATATCTACGAAAGGGATAAAAATTGAAAACAAATTATTTTTGTCTTTCAATGGTGCAACAAAATATGAGCACAATGTACCTACCCACTATAAGTAGTAATAGGATGAACCGAATTTATAAATATCAAAAATGGCTAGTGCAGGATAGGTAACTTCTGTCCGAAGAAGTTTTCTGTTTAGAGCTCTGGAACGCACATCCCATTTTTTCTTCTTCAAATGTTTGATCCTCACTTTTACTCTCCCAAAAATCTGGGATTGACCTAGAGTTTGCACACTATCATGTCAACGTTATGGATTGACTAAAAATGAAACCCAATTTTGTTGCCAATTTTTATTATCTTGGCCTTTGAAAAGTGCAAACTTGAGGTCAGTCCCAGATTTTTGGGGGAACAAAAGTGACGATCAACCCTTTAATGAAATGGTATGTTCGTGCTAGAGAAAGCTCTTGAACTAAAAACAGGTTCTTACTAGCCTTATTTGATATTTATAAATCCGTTCAGTCAGCACACCCTAGTATACGTTCTCGTTGATGTTTTGATCAAATGTATTCATATCTTTTCAATTTAGTTCAACGAACCAACGAAAAGTAGAAATAAAAGCGGAGATATTAAATGGCAAAATCAAAACATGTTGATATTCTCGGTTTCAATCAGCTATTTTTGCATTTTGTTATAAAATGTATTTTCAAGACTAGAAGAATGTGTGGCAAAAATATTTATTGGAATCTTTAGTTCGAACAATTATTTATAGCAATTTATATGAGGTTAAGAGCAATATCAACAAGACTGCTTTAGTTATTATATGACGACGAGAAGAGTTTGATGCAAGATGCATCGTCACAACTAAATATAAATGTTGATGAAATGAGTTCGAATGGAGCGAAAGAAAGAATGTGCGTATCAAGAGATACGCAATTTTATTCAAGAGTTCAAGACTCTCTGCTAAAATTAAAAGCACGCACAATTCAAAATGGATGGTTTTTTTTCAACTTTTTTATTCAAGAATTTCTTCGATTCCATTTCATGTCATGTGTTTCTTAATCCAACCTTCATAATAACTGCTGATACGTGTAAAACCTTCTGGTTTCTCGCTGCCAACGACTTGTGGATTCCACGAGATCAAACCAATCAATTTATTTTCATGTATCAATGGACCGCCTGCATCATTGTGTCCAATTCGTTGCTTGGGATTTCCCGAATAAGCACATAATGTGCTGTAATCATAAACTGGGGTCAGTTTGTTGACTTTGCTTCGGCATTCGGCATTTGTCATTGTCTTGACTTTGAGTGATTGTAATTTGGTGATGTTATCCTAAAAGAGTTTCATTTTTAATCGCTTCTCTATCTAATTTTTATTTTTCTTTATCAAAATTCTTCAAAAAAGGAGTGCTGGACTTACATAAACTCCTCCAAATCCAAGGGTGATGGCTTCAACTTGACCTTCAAAGAATGTGCCATTTATTGAAATTTGCTTGACACGTTCGTTGAACTTCAGCGGTTGGTCGAGTTCAATGAGGGCAATGTCGTAATTAAACGGAGCGGTGAATGCATCATAGTTTTCGTGCACCAAAATACGCTTGATTGCATGCACCGCAGCCGTTTCATCATTCTTTTTATTCGTACCCACCGTAATTCCGAACCAATTCACTTGCTGAGAATGGAAACATTGCGCAGCCGTCAATAAATACTTTTCCGAAATGATCACAGCACCGCACAGATGTTTATATTGATTTGTACCGCTCAATTCACGCAACGATGCTACGAAGGGAAATTGTTGGATTTGAACTTCCTGACCACCATTTATACGTGGAGTAAGCAGCACAGCGGCAGAAATTGAATCAAAAACTAAACCCAAAATGCACACCGAAACCAACATCTTGCTAAACTGAGTTATGAAACGAATAACTTAATGTTTTCAACTACGTTTCACATTGAGTAATACCAATCGAATTTCATGATTTTCGACGTTTCATTTGCTAGAAAATAAATTGAAACGTCTTATCGGAGAGATTGCGCAAACACTCGAAGACATTAAGTCATGGTTTAAATCTGTTTGTTATCGTTAACAATAACACGATGGACAAATTCAGACGAATTTGATAAAAGTAAAAAAAAAATCTGAGCTTTGATAAAACATCACAGAGTCCGATCAATTAATCAATAGACCAATTTTGCTACATGTGCGATAGCTCAAACTAAGTTTTTGTATTGAATAGAATTACTTGATTTTTCAATTGATAAAAATATTGATATCGTTTCATTGTAGAATGATAGCGATAACGATACCATCCGTGTAGTTTTTAAATGAATGGGCGCTGGTTGTGTGGTTGTATTGAATAATTATTATTGTTGATTCATCAATTGTCAGGCAAAATGGAAAAAATCAATGTCAATTTTTATGATCTCACGAAACTATTGCGTGACGACCGTCCAAAATTTCCATCCCAAAACAATAGCAAATTTTGTGATCTTCCAAAAATCTGAAGTTGGCCCTATTTATTCAATTATTTTTGCCGATGGATAAGATAGTGTGGAATAAGTCATTCAATCCAGTTCGAATGATTTGAAATGAATTTTAAAAATATTTCACAAATCAAT